CCATTAGGACGCCATCCGGTTTGGAATTCAGAACCGTTCTTCTCTCGTAGACCTGTTTCTAAACAAGGCTGAAAAGCTTCTATCTGTCTATTAGCATGCCATCCGGTTTGGAATTCAGAAGCGTCCTTCTCTCCTAGACCTGTTTCTAAACTAGGCTGAAAAACTTCAATCTGCCCATTAGCACACGATCCGGTTTCGAATTCAGAAGGGTCCTTCTCTCCTAGACCTGTTTCTAAACTAGGCTGAAAAACTTCAATCTGCCCATTAGCACACCATCCTGTTTGGAATTCAGAAGCGTCCTTCTCTCCTAAACCTCTTTCTAAACAAGGCTCAACAGCTTCAATCTGCCCATTAGCACGCCATCCGGTTTGGAATTCAGAAGGGTCCTTCTCTCCTAGACCTGTTTCTAAACAAGGCTGAAAACCTTCAATCTGCCCATTAGCACGCCATCCGTTTTGGAATTCAGAAGATCATTCTCTCCTAGACCTGTTTCTAAACTAGGCTGAAAAGCTTCTATCTGCCCATTAGCACGCCATCCGGTTTAAAATTCAGAAGCGTCCTTCTCTCGTAGATCTGTTTCTAAACTAGGCTGAAAATCTTCTGTCTGTCCATTACCACGACATCTGTTTTGGAATTCAGAAGCGTCCTTCTCTCCTAGACCCGTTCTTTAACTAGGCTGAAAAGCTTCTATCTGTCCATTGGCAGGGCATCCGGTTTGGAATTCAGTAGCGTCCTTCTCACCTAGACCTGTTTCTAAACAAGGCTGAAAAACTTCAATCTGCACATTAGCACACCATCCGGTTTTGAATTCAGAAGCGTCCTTCTCTCCTAGACCTGTTTCTAAACAAGGCTGAAAAGCTTCTCTCTGCCCATTAGCACACCATCCGGTTTGGATTTCAGATGCGACCTTCTCTCCTAGACCTTTTTCTAAACTAGGCTGAAAAACTTCAATCTGCCCATTAGCACACGATCCGGTTTCGAATACAGAAGGGTCCTTCTCTCCTAGACCTGTTTCTGAACTAGGCTGAAAATCTTCAATCTGTCCATTAGCACGCCATCCGGTTTGGAATTCAGAAGCATCCTTCTCCTAGACCTTTTCCTAAACTAGGCTGAAAAGCTTATGTCTGTCAATTAGCACACCATCCGGTTTGGAATTCAGAAGCGTCCTTCCCTTCTAGACCTGTTTCTCAACTAGGCTGAAAAGCTTCAATCTGCCCATTAGCATACCATCCGGTTTGGAATTCAGAAGCGTCCTTCTCTCCTAGACCTGTTTCTAAACAAGGCTGAAAAGCTTCAATCTGCCCATTAGCACGCCATCCGGTTCGGAATTCAGAAGCATCCTTCTCTCGTAGATCTGTTTCTAAACTAGGCTGAAATCTTCTATCTCCCCATTAACATGCCATCCGTTTTGGAATTCAGAAGCGTCCTTCTCTCGTAGATCTGTTTCTAAACTAGGCTGAAAAGCTTCTATCTGCCCATTAGCACGCCATCCGGTTTGTAATTCAGAAGCTTCCTTCTCTCGTAGATCTGTTTCTAAACTAGGCTGAAAACCTTCAATCTGCCCATTAGCACGCCATCCGTTTTGGAATTCAGAAGCGTCATTCTCTCCTAGACCTGTTTCTAAACTAGGCTGAAAAGCTTCTATCTGCCCATTAGCACGCCATCCGGTTTGGAATTCAGAACCGTTCTTCTCTCGTAGACCTCTTTCTAAACTAGACTGAAAAGCTTCTATCTGCCCATTAGCACGCCATCCGGTTTAAAATTCAGAAGCGTCATTTTCTCCTAGACCTGTTTCTAAACTAGGCTGAAAAGCTTATGTCTGTCAATTAGCACACCATCCGGTTTGGAATTCAGAAGCGTCCTTCCCTTCTAGACCTGTTTCTCAACTAGGCTGAAAAGCTTCAATCTGCCCATTAGCATACCATCCGGTTTGGAATTCAGAAGCGTCCTTCTCTCCTAGACCTGTTTCTAAACAAGGCTGAAAAGCTTCAATCTGCCCATTAGCACGCCATCCGGTTCGGAATTCAGAAGCATCCTTCTCTCGTAGATCTGTTTCTAAACTAGGCTGAAATCTTCTTTCTCCCCATTAACATGCCATCCGTTTTGGAATTCAGAAGCGTCCTTCTCTCGTAGATCTGTTTCTAAACTAGGCTGAAAAGCTTCTATCTGCCCATTAGCACGCCATCCGGTTTGTAATTCAGAAGCTTCCTTCTCTCGTAGATCTGTTTCTAAACTAGGCTGAAAACCTTCAATCTGCCCATTAGCACGCCATCCGTTTTGGAATTCAGAAGCGTCATTCTCTCCTAGACCTGTTTCTAAACTAGGCTGAAAAGCTTCTATCTGCCCATTAGCACGCCATCCGGTTTGGAATTCAGAACCGTTCTTCTCTCGTAGACCTCTTTCTAAACTAGACTGAAAAGCTTCTATCTGCCCATTAGCACGCCATCCGGTTTAAAATTCAGAAGCGTCATTTTCTCCTAGACCTGTTTCTAAACTAGGCTGAAAAGCTTCTATCTGCCCATTAGCACGCCATCCGGTTTGGTATTCAGAAGCGTCCTTCTCTCTTAGACCTGTTTCTAAACTCGGCTGAAAAGCTTCTATCTGCCCATTAGCATGCCATCCGTTTTGGAATTCAGAAGCGTCCTTCTTTCCTAGACCTGTTTCTAAACTAGGCTGAAACCTTCTATCTGCCCATTCGCACAACCATACGCGGCTTTCGAAATGATTCTTCTACTCAAGTTCCCTCACAAGACGTAAGTGAACTCGTGATATGGTTTTCAGTCACCCAACTGTGCCATACATCAGGACTGCCCCCCCCCCCATATTACGATATCAAAAGTTACTTTCGAGATTAATTGATGCTGGTTAAATGCGAAACCAGGGTCTCATTGTCAAGATGCTGACGCTCATTTTCTTTTTTTTTCATTTTCTCTAGAACTTTGTTCAAGCCATTTTAATCTAAGCTTTCTTCTTTAGACCACATTTCTATTGCCTCAGGTAATTCCTTCATCTATGAAGAGATTGTCCAGTATTCACTGCCATATAGGATATTACGTAACAGTTCAACACTCTTTTCTTTGCTTTTAACGAAATTTTCCCCTTTCTTAATACTTTGCTTAGCTTTCGATTTTTTTCGATTACTTGGAATCACTTGCATGGAATGGAACAATTAACAGTCTGAAAGTGACAGGCAGGAATCAAATGCCACATGTGAAATCACCTTCTCATCCCGACCTCATTCTTCCTTTTCAAAATAAAGTATTGTCATGCAGCGAAGTCGTCCATCGACATGCCTTGTATAAAAAAAAATGTATTTCTTCTTCCAACGCGTCAACTGCACGAAAATACTTTTGAACTTGAAAGTGTTGTGGGATTTTATAATTTTTCACTTCGAATTTTGCCAATTAAAATTAGAGTAATTCTTCACTCCGAGCAGATATATTCAATTAAACCGTTTAGTAACGATATTGCTGCACAGGTTCTTCGAATAAGAAGACAAAACGTGATACTTGGTCTTTTCTCCCTTCCCTTTTTTTTTTTTTTTTTTTTTTAAGTGTCGGAGAAATCATATTCCGAGAAAAAAAAACACCTCTTAAAGCCTGCGTTTATGGTGGCTCATGCAAAAACACTTCCATCGTAGCGTTACTGCTATAAACGGAAAGAAATATACATTTTGTATAAATAAAACAAATTTTATTACTTTTACGTTAAAGAGAAATTAAATCCTAAAATTTTCTTGCGCGTAGAGTTAAAGAAACTTTGAAATTAGGTTAAAACCAGTGAAATATAGCCACTCCGTTTCGCGAGGCTCGTCCCTTAATCGAGACGCAATCGCGCCAATCCTCCGAAGGAACGCCATCGAACGAGGGCCAATAACCCCTGAAGTCTCCACTGCCACAGGAGTAAAAAAAAAATCTATCAGCAAGAGAAGAATATTTAACTATTTTTTTTCATCTCTGCGTCCCTGCGACGGATCCTGGCTCAACCGCGGACCTGATCAAATTACCGACCGAAAATGTATCCGCACAGATCGCATCCCAAATCAACGCCTTCCCCATTTCAAAAGGAAAATGGTAATGCCACCCGGCCGCTTTCCATCACCGTGGTCGAGGCCTATGGGTTCGATTTGGGAAGGGAACCCAGCTGCATCCAAACCTCTTTTGATGATGTCGTTAATGGCTGCATGCCGTGGAAAGCGGCCGACACTACGATGACAGGAGAGAAATGCAAACCAAACTCATCGATAGAAATTGGAAATTCGCGGTTTCGAATTTTTATCATCCGCTATTATCTTTCAGAGCCTTCATATTATAGCGGACTTTGGAACAAAAGTTTAAGAAACAATCCCTATATAGAATTCTACAGGAATCTATCTGGTAATCAAAATGGCACTAACTTCAAAACCGGGGAAGATGAGGTTGTCGCTAAGTGATATCAGTTTTTAAAAGATCGAAACTTTCAAGCCGTAGGTTATCATGGCTCTCCACAACTTCCTATTTTTTGTTGTTCTGAATATCTTTGACCATCTACGATTCTTTTGTCCTTGTTCTGTCATTCATATCTTTTCTTCTTCTTTATGGGCTATGTTCTTACAATACAACGACGATCATGGCTCTCTACAACTTCCCATCTTTTGTTGTTCTAAATATCTTTTGATCATCTACGATTCTTTTGTCTTTGTTCTGCCATTCATATCCTCTTCCTCCTCCTTCTATGCGCTATGTTCATTCAGGACAACGGCGATCATGGCTCTCCACAGCTTCCTGCCTTTTGTCGTTCTATGTACATTTTATACCTTTACCGCCCACGTTTGTTCTCGTTCTGCCATCCATATCCTTCTTTTATGTGCCATGTTCTTTCAGGGCATGGATAATCATGGCCCTCCACAACTTCCTGTCTTTTGTTGCTTTAAGTATCTTTTGTTGTTTTATCACCCCACTTTATCCATGTTCTGCCATCCATTTATTCAATCTTATTAAGTCGTTTATTCGCACTTGCGAATGTTTTCTTGCTTTCAGTGTTCTGTGCGTGTTAGATCCTCTCTTCTTCTTCTTCTTCTTCTTCTTCTCCTTTTTTCTTATTATCTTTTTCTTCTTTCCCCTCGCCTTTTTTCCTTATCTTTTGATTTTTTCCTCTTCTTTTTTCTTTTCGTTTTCTCTTTCTTCTTCATCATCATCATCTCTCCATCTTCTATTTTTCTTTTCTTCTCCGTCTTCTTTCCTTCTTCTTCTTCTTCTTCTAATTTTCTTCTCTTTTTTCTTCTCTCCTTCTCGTCTTCTTCTTCTTCTCAATATCTATTTCTCTCTTCTTCTTCTTCTTCTTCTTCTTCTTCTTCTTCTTCTTCTTTTTTTCTTTTTTTATCTTCTTTTTTCTCCTTGCATTATTCCGCTTCTCGTTTTTTCTCTTCTCTTCTTTTCCTCTTTTTCTTCTTTTTTTCTTTTTCTTTTCTTTTCTTTTTCTTTACTTTTCTTCTTCTCATCTTCTTTTCCTTAGACTCATTTAGTGCGAAATCTTCACTTGTTAGTTTGTTCACAATCTCAACTAAGTATTATTTTTCACATCTTTGCGATCTGAACAATAAAAAAGTACTTTTAACCTGAACAATGAAAATGTATTATTTATTGATTGATTTAAATTCATTATAAAAAAATTGAATTGCGCTCCCAAGTTTCATAAATTACTAATGATATCGTTATCTTTATTTTGTTTTATATCAACAGACGCGTTATGGAGCCAAAGGCTGCGGCCACATCAACAGCTGTTTCAGTTTTAATATTTAAAACACCCGATTACTAGACTGGCGCCCGAGAGGAATAAAGGGCTCCAACAGCCATATTGGTTTGTTCAGAGCTGAGGAGAGTCGTGCATTCATATATTTCCCAAGGGCATTAGTGAAAAGTGAGCACAAACCGTCGGGGTTTGAACTCGGTCAACTGATCCCATTATTTGTGTTGTTAACTGTCGGATCACGCTCATCTCCAAAAATCATTTGTAATAATTCAAAGTCAAGATGACTGGCAGCGCAATTAGTAGTGGATGTTGTGGGGGTGTTTTCTATATTTCCTTTTATTCGAATTTGAAATTATCATTTTTTTTCCTTTCTTTCCCGTCTCTCCTCTCTCTCTCATTTCTCTCTCAGTTCGTTTTTCTGTCTCTCCTGTTTCTTTTCCTCTCTCTCTTCGTTTTTCTGTCTCTCCTCTTTCTTTTCCTCCCCCACTTCGTTTTTCTGTCTCTCCTCTTTCTTTTCTTCTCTCTCTTCGTTTTTCTGTCTCTCCTCTTTCTTTTCCTCCCCCACTTCGTTTTTCTGTCTCTCCTCTTTCTTTTCCTCTCTCTCTTCGTTTTCTGTCTGTCTCTCCTGTTTCTTTTCCTCCCCACTTCGTTTTTCTGTCTCTCCTCTTTCTTTTCTTCTCTCTCTTCGTTTTTCTGTCTCTCCTCTTTCTTTTTCCTCCCCCCCACTTCGTTTTTCTGTCTCTCCTCTTTCTTTTCCTCCCCCACTTCGTTTTTCTGTCTCTCCTCTTTCTTTTCCTCCCCCACTTCGTTTTTCTGTCTCTCCTCTTTCTTTTCCTCCCCCACTTCGTTTTTCTGTCTCTCCTCTTTCTTTTCCTCTCTCTCTTCGTTTTTCTGTCTCTCCTGTTTCTTTTCCTCCCCCACTTCGTTTTTTGTCTCTCCTCTTTCTTTTCCTCCCCCACTTCGTTTTTCTGTCTCTCCTGTTTCTTTTCCTCTCTCTCTTCGTTTTACTGTCTCTCCTCTTTCTTTTCCTCTCTCTCTTCGTTTTTCTGTCTCTCCTCTTTCTTTTCCTCCCCCACTTTGTTTTTCTGTCTCTCCTCTTTCTTTTCCTCCCCCACTTTGTTTTTCTGTCTCTCCTCTTTCTTTTCCTCCCCCACTTTGTTTTTCTGTCTCTCCTCTTTCTTTTCCTCCCCCACTTTGTTTTTCTGTCTCTCGTCTTTCTTTTCCTCTCTCTCTTCGTTTTTCTGTCTCTCCTCTTTCTTTTCCTCTCTCTCTTCGTTTTTCTGTCTCTCCTCTTTCTTTTCCTCCCCCACTTTGTTTTTCTGTCTCTCCTCTTTCTTTTCCTCCTCCACTTTGTTTTTCTGTCTCTCCTCTTTCTTTTCCTCTCTCTCTTCGTTTTTCTGTCTCTCCTCTTTCTTTTCCTCTCTCTCTTCGTTTTTCTGTCTCTCCTCTTTCTTTTCCTCCCCCACTTTGTTTTTCTGTCACTCCTCTTTCTTTTCCTCTCTCTCTTCGTTTTTCTGTCTCACCTCTCTCTTTTCCTCCCCTACTTCGTTTTTCTGTCTCTCCTCTTTCTTTTTCATACTTGCCTCTCTGAATCCTTCTATTCTGTTTTCCATCTTTCTTTCTCTCCCTCTCTCTTTTTAATTCTCTTTCGTCTCATTTCCCCTTTTCTTCTCTCTCTATTTATCATGTTTCTCACTTTTCTGTCTCTCCTCTCTCTTTTACCCTCTCACTTCGTTTTTCTGTCTTTCATCTCTCTTTTCCTCCCCCACTTTTTTCTGTCCCTCCTTATTCTTTTTCTCCTCTCTCTCTCACATCGTTTTCTGTCTCTCCTCACTCCTTTTCCTCTCGCATTTCGTTTTTCTGTCTCTCCTCTCTCGTTTCCTCTATTCTGTTTCCCCCTTTTTTCTCGCTTCTCCTACCTCTCTCTCTCTTTCTCTTGTTAGTTCTCATCTTTCATCTCACTTCCCCCTTTCTCCTCTCTCTATTCATCCTGTCGAAATGGTAAAGACAGATAACCTGTGTGATATGAATGGAAAAAGATTATAGGATCAAGAGAAAGGTAAAGATTGACTTAAAGAAGTCAAAATTGAATTGCTCAGGGAAGCACTCACGCGGGAGTCTCTTAAAGTGGAAGTTTTTGGGAAAAGATTGTCTGATTGGAACTTTCTTCTAAGATTTGGAACACGGGTGGAACGAAGATGATTCGACTCCATGGAGCTAGCATGGTGTGTCCTAAAAGTCTGAACTGGTTGAATTAAAGAATAGATTTCATCTAAACATTTGTCATAGAAAGAGTAGCGATAGGCTTTGCAATGTTGCGTTTATGGGGAAAGAGGTTACAGAGTGGAGAATAAGCCTTTTTCGTGTTACATCGCCAATGATGACTCACCGGTCCACCATTATCATCTAACGTGCTTGCTGAATCTTCTGGCCAGTGGTAGAGTCTGACGGGCGTCTCACACCTCTTCATGCGTCACGCTTTTCCCACCACTTTTAAACACCTCAATCCACTCATACACACATCTTCGCGGTAGTTCACTGTGCGCCCTATTGTGTTAAAAACCCACCAATGCGTTTCAGCCCCCGACACGCCTTCCGACCAGATTAAATCGGGTTACTGCTCTTCGTTCCTCCGAGCGGAGCAGCCATGTTTACACTGTAACATCAGCAAGAAAACTGACACGATCAAGCTCAAACTTCGACCACGTGACCACAATAGTAACAACTATAAGCACGCATGCGCGCAAGGGATTGTGACAAGCCTAAAGATGTGTTATTGTGAAAGTTCAGATAATTTTTAACTTAATCTCGTATATAATTTTCTTAAAAGAAAAACTTGAAGACACAATTGAACTAAAACATACAGGGTTAGTAGGATTCATTTTTTACGGATTACCAACACTTCGCAGGTTATTTAAAGCCAGAAAATATTTTTACATTATAATAATTTCTTTTTTTTGTGGGGGGAGATAATAATGATTTAGTGATGCAATTCTTATTAATTTACCCATAGCTGAGGGGAGAAGAGGTGGGTTCATAGCTTCTCCAAGGTTATTTGCACGTAAGTGAATATGACGAACCCAACTGGAATTGGAACTTGGCTCTCCGATGAACAATTCCCAGCCATTATCCATTACACCACCCGCACATCCAAGCTTACAGATCTAGATTTAAGATTATTAGCCTGGCAGATTTTACTACTTAAAGGTTATTTTTAGTTGGTATTCATATTTGCGTAGACGCTCCGTTTGTATCTTGAACATTACATTTATTTATTTGCGTCTACCTGCCAGAGAGTTCATACTTTTTCTTTAATAAGATCTCTTGAATATTCAGGCTGATAAACGAAAATACATAAATATAGTATTTAATAAATAAACAGAGTGCCTACTAAAATATGACTATCCACTAAAAAACTTTAATTAATATATATATATATATATATATATATATATATATATATATATATATATATTGAACAATAAAAAAAATATTAAAAAATTAAAATCTTCAGACACACTGGGTGGTAGATTAATATTCTTTCGTGTTTTTTTTTTTATTATTATTTCATTTAGATTCCTCGACTAGTTTCGGCCAAAATGGCCATCATCGAGCGAAGAAATATTTCTGCTTGCTGGTAGCAGTAAACTACAGAAATGAATCTTTCGCTGGAGAAAATGAACTTTTGTCTGTAGTTTTCATTTGTTTTTTTATTTTTTTATCTTTTTAACATGAATCTTTTAACATTCCTTCTGTTGGTCAAAAAGTCTCTTTTAAGTTGTTATTTGAGATAAGAGCTGGATGGATCTATGCTTCTCTGAATATATATATATATATATAGTAGTCATCCGTTTATGTCGCAAGAAAAAAATTAGCGCCCTTTGGTTAAAATGCAGGCCTTTGCTGGTGAGACTGGAATGACCTTTCCGGGTACACGGCTGGATGATGGTATATGATGATTCATGGTACTGACATGAGCCAAAGGAATACAGTTGACAGCCAACCGCCTTCGAGGCTCTACTCCAGATACTTCCATAACCTTTTTCCGTGTTTGGCTGGAGACGACAGCAAGACAGTGGAGGTTTAAAATCAACGTTTCCCTTTCCCTAGATTGACTGCCTTCCTGGGTTGTCGAGATCCAGCTACCCGCCAGCTGGTTATGAGGCACCAGTGGTCCGCCTTCGGTCATTCTCCAACTTAGCTGGATATTTGCCATAAGTTATTCGAGACGTGGGAGCTTCTTTCCACTATCACCCCAGCTATGAAAACCTTCTGTATATATATATATATATATATATATATATATATATATATATATATATATATATATATATATATATATATATATATATATATAAGTAAGTGAACATTGACGTCAACACTCAGAGGCAACAGGCTGTTTCATGCTAGACGCAATCGTCAGGCCACGTGTGTTGGGTTTCTTCTCGACTATTTATATACACGGGTCATTGGTGCATTATGGGTAGTCCATTCTGACGATTATATTGGTGGTTTATTTATTTATTTGGGTTAATTTATTTTTTATTATTTGAGCACAAACAATAAAAAAGCACAACAGGAAAACTATCCATCCGAACAAATTAAACCCACGTTTAACTGCAAAATAAATAATGAATGCCCCCTAAACGGTAATTTCTTACAAAACAACGTAATATACCAAGCCACGGTAAAATCACCAGATAATGAAGAAAAAATATACATAGGAGTAACTGAAGGACCATGGAAACAAAAAAATTACGCATACAAAACATCTTTCACAAATGGTACATACGCGAACAGCACAATGCTTTCTAAGTATATCTGTGAAATTAAAAACAAAACGCAAATCACACCAAAAATATCATGGAAAATAAGGAAGATATCATCAGCCTACTGCAATCAATCCAAAACCTGTACGTATATAAACATTATATAGATTGTGTGTTTTAGAAGCTGCCAAAAACTTAACATTTTTTAATATATAAAATGTTAGGTAAACAAAGACACGAGAAAGTAAGACAAATTATAAAATAGTAGATAAATAAATACAAATATCGAAAAGTCTGTTCATTTTAGAAGCAGATTGCTGTAATAAAAAATGAATATATACAGGGCTGGCACGATGGTCTTGCCCCCCACCCAAAGACAAAAACTTTGATACTGTTCCCCCTCTCTACTAAATGTCGATTTCAAAATTTCTCAACCTGAAGGTCACAAACCTTCGAAGGAAAATTGTGGGGGGGGATTCAGCGCTTTTTTTTTAAATTACCAAAAATCAGGGAATTGTCCAATTAAAATTCATTAATTATTTACTTTAATAATGATTAATTTGTTTGTTTTTATTTTAAAAAATCTGAGAAAATGTTATTCTTTTTGTAATAACCACCAATATTTTCATGACTAAATTTTTCTGAAATTAGACATGGGGCTCCTACGCGGTTGAGAAGTTCAGGGTAGTAAGCACCGGCCCTATCGATTATTATAGTTCATGACAATATAAATTAGGTTATGAGGCGCCAGTGTTCCGTCTTCGCCCATTCTACGGCTTGAAGCAGAGGCTATTTGAGATGCATGTCAAAGAAGCATTTTATAGACAGTGTGAGTTTTTCCCCACTGCGATTTTCAGGTCGCGGACACAAAAATCAAGCAGACGCGGAAGTTTAAATATCTAGGAAGTATTTTCATGGAGGATGGCAAGTGCGACACTAAGATCCATAGTCGTAGTGGAATGGCCAAGGACACATTCCAAAAGCTGGGCAGAGTAATGCGAGACAGGAGGTTTTGGCAACAAAGAAAAGAGCACTGAGCTGTTACGTGACATCTGTTCTCCTTTACGGCAGCGAATGGTGGACGGTCTCCTCAACGATGAAGAAGTGTCTCGGGGCGACGGAGATGTGGTTCTACAGAAGGATGCTGAGGATAGCAGGGACCGGGCGTGTGAGCAACGATGAGGTCTTAGAGAGGATGCAAACGAGGAGGAGGCTTATACTTAACATCAGGAAGAGACAGCTGAAATGTCTGGGACACGTAATGAGAAAGGAGGGCCTGGAGAATCTGATACTCACAGGTCGAACAGAGGGAAAAAGAAACAAGGGAAAGCAACGCATAACATATCTGGCGGGCTTGAGCAAGTGGATGACAGAATGTGGTCTGTGGGAGTTGATAGAGGGATGAAACTTATTGAGATAGGGATAAGGGAAAGTGGAGAGCCATGATCGCCTATGTCCTGAAAGGACCACGGCACATAAAAAGAAACGAAAGAATGACAACCTTTGGGGCACAGTGTAAGTAAATAAACATTTATATATCATGTGTTTTAGAAGCTCTAAAAAGAATTAACGGTAAAGAAAAACATTAGAAACGGAGACAAATTACGAAATTGTACATCAAGAAACAAAAATATCGAAAAGTTTGTTAATTTTAGAAAAAGATAGCAGGCGGGAAAAATGAAAATATAAATCGAGGCATAAGCCTAAAAAAAAACTCGGAGATAATGAAGTCATTATCTATAACATACAAGAATAAGAACTTATACTACATTTTTTTGACAGTACGAAAACCTAAATTAAATATTGTTAAAAGATGAACAAGAGTAGAAAATGCAAAGTTGATAAATCTAAATTTAGTCGAACAAAAACAAAGTAAAAATAAAACAAACGATCTTCAAGCAGTTTTAAAAAAAAATATATACAAATATAGAAAAACACGCCTACTGTGTATAAGGATTGAAAGAAATAATGATAAACAATACATATATAGCTTCAGATAAATATAATAATCATATCTATAATAAATGAAAAAAATATTGCAATTATTATATCACTTTTAAGCAATATTTGCGTTTTTTCAGTTAAACCTAAAATCTGAAATATATATATATATCAATGATATATATACCAATTACACACACACACACACACATATATACATATATATATATATA